AGTTGTGTTTGAGTTAATCAGATTTTGTGAAACCCTGGTCAGAGGGAGAGGACTCTGGGTGGTGCAAGTGATTTGGAATTGACTACTGACTTAAAGATTGGTGGTTTGAACACACACAGTGACTCTATAGAAGAAAAGCCTGGTTGAATTGCTTCTGTAAACATTGTTGTTATGTGTCATTGAGTTGCTTGCAATTCATAGCGACCCTATGTACAACAGCTCTGAATCCTGCTCTTTCCTGAGCCAACCTTGTCGTCTCTGATACACCTATCCTCATTACCCCAGTCACTAAGTCAATCCATCTTGTCTCTTGTGCTGACCTTCCACCTACCAAGCATGATGTCCCTCTCAAAGAACTCTGGTCCCTCCTTGCAACATGTCCAAAGTATATCAGACGAAGCTTCAGAATCCTTGCTTCCAAGGAGGAGCCTGATTTCACCCTCTCCAGGAAGAACCTGTTCTCCTAGCAGTTCATGGTGTATTCAACACTCTTCTCCAGCACCACAGCTGAAAGGCATCAATTCTTCTATCATCTCTAATCATTGTCCAGCTGGCACATCTTAGTCTCCAAACTGAGATCGTTGCTCTTCAGTACTCTGGAAAGTTCCCTGACAGCAGACTTTCCCAATGCAATTTGTCTTCTGATTTTCTGGCTGCTGGTACCAAGAGTGTTGATTGTGGAGCCAAGCAAATTGAAGCTGTTAACAATCTCTCAATCTCTTCAACATCTATCATGATGCTGCCAGTCAGCCCAGTGGTGAGAATCTTTGTTTTCCTGATGTTGAGCTTCAATCCATATTGAAGGCTGCAATTCTTGACCTTCTGAAGTAAGCACTTCAGGTCCTCCTCAGTTTCTGCAAGCAAGGTTGTGTCATCTGAATAACGTAGGTTGATGAGTCTTCCTCCAAAACTGACAACACATTCCTCATCATACAGCCCAGCCTCCTGAATGATCTCTTTTGCATACAGATTGAAAAGATATGGAGCTAGGACACAACCCCGGCATACACCCTTCCCAATTTTGAACCATGCAGTCCTTTCTTGCTGTCTTCTGACGTATGCCTCCTGGTCCAAGTACAGGTTTCGCATAAGCACAATCAAGTGTTCTGGTATTCCTGCATCTGGGAAAACCCCAAGAAACAATTCTACTCTATAACAAATGGGATCTCCATGAGTTAGAATGGACTCAATGATAATGGATTTGTTTTAATTTGTTTGGCAAGAGGTATAGGTGCAATGGATGGCAGGAGAGAGGAGGGTGTTCTTTGAGGGGAAAGACTACAGAAAGGGAAATTACAACAGTAGATTCGACCAAGGCTTCCATCCCAGCTTACAATAGCAACAACTGTCCTGTCAAAGGAGAGAAGACAGCTCTCAAGGGGCTGTGGCTCAGAGTCAGGAGGAGCGGAGGATTGTGGGTCAGATTGGGGGGGGCAGGAGGTGACACTGGGCTCTGAGCAGAAGCTGCTGATGAAGCAGAACGCTCGGGGATGAGCCCACTTAGATGCTCAAGTTAACCTAAGTGGACCCCAAAATTGGTCAATTCCTCTCACTCCTCTCGCTATTTATCCAACTCTAGAATCAAACCATGCTGACCCTGGGTCCTATCCTGTTCCCTCATTGGACAGGTCCCCTCTTACAGCCCAGGAGTCAGCTCAGGGGTAATCACTGCATCACGCTTCAAAGCCACAGAGCCAGCTCCTAATAGAGGGGCAGCGGGTTTCACTTACCTTGCCTGGCCGCCTGCCCAGGGCAGATGGGATGCAGCTGGAGAGGCCCGCCTCCTCTTCCCTCCCATGGAAGTTGCTGTCTTCTTCCCCATCTCCTTTCACTCCTGTTCTATTTGGGCATTGGAGTTAAGGGGTGGGGGCATGATTCTTCCCCAGTCAGGAAAAGTGAGAGCTCAGAATCCATGTATGTGATCAAAAAGCAAAACTCATTCTCTTGATTTAACTCTGACCTACCCAGACCCCAAACCCAGACCCTGTGAGTGTGTGCTGGGAGGAGACAGCCAAGGGGACACTGAGAGGTAGAGCTGGGTGGAGCTTAGTATTTCTGAGGTCCTGGCTCCTGGGGGTGGCTGCTGGTCATCTAGTTAGGGTGAGGGTTAGAAGGGCTGAGTTTATGGGAAGAGTGATGGGAAGTAGGGAGTTAAAAGGCGAAAAGCATGAGTGGAAGGGCCTTGTGCAAGACCGTGGCCATTTATTTTACCTATGCTTCCTGTTAGGGTTGCAAGGGAACCCTGATACCCCAAAGGGAACCCTGCTAACTGGCAGCTCAATTCCACCAGCAGCTCTTGGGGGAAAAAAGACAATCTCCTTCCATGTGATTTACAGACTCCTGAAAATCCTCTAGAGAATCAGCTGCAACTCAACGGGCAACAAGTTGAGTTTTTGAGTTGAGAATGTGCTCCGGGCAGAGCTGTCATTGTTACCCAATTGCAAAGATGCTCACAGTCTTGGTGGGAGAAGATTGCCCGCCTTTTTTCTTGCGCAGCTGGTGTTGGATTCAACTCACTGGCCTTTTGGTTAACAGCCCAGCACTATGCAACCAGGTCTGCTTTCCTCCAAGACAAAAATATCTTACATCCTCATTGATAAGGAAACAGACACAGAGAGAGAGAGATATTAAGTAAGCTGTGTAAGAGCACACAGGAGGTACGTGGGAGAGAGACTGGGAATTCAGACCCAGACCTGTGTGACTCCCAGCGCGCAGTGCTCTTGCCTCTGTACACTTTAAGATTGTTCTCCCCGACAGCACTCAGCATCCCATCAAGGTCTTCTGCTGGGCCTAATCATAGAAATACTGCTAATAATAGTAACCTTTGCTGTTTGCAATTGCTCAAGTAAGGCTTAAATGATCGAGACTGTGGAAGTTATTAATAACTCAGGCCCAGCCATGGTATTGTGGGTCATATTAAATAATGTTTAGGTGGAAAATCTTGGCAATAATAATACCCAGGATCACAGATTAATAACAGGAGTGTTTAAATTAATGCCACACTGTCAGTACCGTTGGTGGGAAGCAGCTCAACACTATTAATACCAATGCTGCCCCTTCCTGTCTTCTGGGAATCCCACTGAGAGGCAAGACAAGTCTGTAGAAGCTGTGGAGGAAGGAGGCATCTCAGAGGCAGCCCCCGTCAGAAAGAAATTAATCCTCTGGGACTGCTCACTGCCCAGCCCTTTCTGCCCAGCCATGGTGACAATGGTTCATCACCAGCATAATCAGCCAAGGCCACCATGATGTCCACATGTCCCTTTGAAGTCTGTCCTCAGAACTTTGTTAGCTATATAGGAAAGAACTTTGAAGGGCATATTTTTTCCAATGAATAAGTTAATTTGTTTCAGCTGATCTGGGTTACCATGATTTGGAATGTATTTGGGTAGGAATTCACTGAAGGGTTTTTTTGGACCTAAGAAATAACTTACCAAAGAGTTCCTGTAATTTGGGAAAACAGTGCCATTGTCCCAAAGAGGAAACTGGGACCCAGGTATGGCCAAGAAAAGGGTGCTGGAGATGGCCTTTGTCGCTTTATCTTCTGTAGTCCTATGATCCAGGGACCTTGTGCTTCGGGACCAGACATGAAGGATGGATGGGGATTGAGCACCAGGGACTGATGCCCTTAGCATATTCCTGGGGTTGGAAAGGCCTTGTATTTTATTTGCGAAGTGTTCTAAGGCATGGCAGGGTGGTCCTGGGAACCGGGTATATGTTTAAGACTTCATAGCTATGAGCTTCAGCGTGCATGGATGGTGAACGGAATGTATCTGCAAGCCCATTCATCCACTTACCTATTTATATACTTCTTTATTTTACAGAATACCTACCATGCGTTGTTGTTGTTGTGGGCTGTGGAGTCAGAACCCACCATAGCAGACCCTTCAGTGTGTTTCCAGAGGCAGTAAATGGGATGGGAGGAGATTGTCCATTTTTCTCCAGCACAACAGCTGATGGATTCAAACCGTGTGCCTTTGGGTTGACAGCGCCGTTCCTTACCACTGTACCGCCAGATTTCGGTACCTCTTGTGTACTGGGCATTCAAACAAGAAGCCACAGACCTTGCCTGCTGGGAGCAAGCAAACATTACGATCTAATGAAAACACAGCCTAGTGAAGCCTACACTATGGAGGACATATTTGTGTTTGTGCTCATGAATGTGTACTCACACATGTGTGAGAAACGGTATGCATGTGAGGGCTTGTGTGGAGGTGACCATATCTGCCTGGCCTATATGTGCACGTGTGAATTGATGCAGATGAGTGTGTGCATTTCAGTGGCGTGTCCACACAGGCCACGCGGGGGCATGTGTGCATGAGTGCGGAGACGCACATAAACGATTATGGTTTCCCATCTACTTATATGTGGAGCTTCAGAGTGTGTGTTCTCAAGTCTTGTGTGCACACCTGTGATCTCATCAAGGCCATCAGTTGAGAATTCAAATGACGTCGGGGTGGACACCATCCTGAATGCCTTCTCTACACTCCCACTTGGGTCACCTTCTATCCCTTCCTTCCCTTTGCGTCGAAAACCAGGAAGGAAGAATAGATGAGAATGGGCTGGGAGATGAAGAGTGAGGTGAGACAGGGCACTTTTACTGATATCGACTGGGTAGGCGCATGGCACTACGGACAGATTGAAGCCCAAGGCTGAGGAAGATGGGCGAAACCTGCGGCGGGCCACAGGCAGGGAGGAACCCGAGCCGCAGTGGGGACGCCCCGGCCCCTGGGTGCGCATCATCCGGACCGGATGCCCAGCAGCGCGGGCTGGGCACAGGTACTAGGGCGGGGTGGGTAAGAGCCTAGGAAGGCCGGGACACCGAGAAGGGGCAGCAGGACGCACGGGCGCAACTGTCCGCACGCTGCCCTCCCTTTATCCCGGCTCTGCTCCCGGAGCTGGCGGGGCGGGCAGGCGCGGTTCCGGGGGTGGGCGGGCTGGGCGGGGAGGAGGCGGGGCCGCTGCACTGGCTTCACCCAGCCCCTCCCGCCATAGCCAGAGCGAGCGGAGCAGCGGCCAGCTCCGGCGGGCGGACGCTGGAGCGCAGCGCTGCCCTATCGGTCCGCGGAGCGTCCAGAGCTGGAAGCCGTGCGCGGCTGCGGGAGGCAGGCGATGGGGGCAGGTGCCGCTGGCCGTGTCATGGATGGGCCGCGCCTACTGCTGCTGCTGCTCCTGGGGGTGAGTGCTGGCCGGAGGCGAGTCCACTTCCTTCCCTGGGATCGGAACCCCGGGGGGAGCCAGGCTCCACCGCGCTGGAAATGGAACATTAGTATCCTCGATGCTGGGGATCAGGGGCTGGAAGACGGGTCTAACGCCGGGGTCCACGGAGGAGCGTCGGGGATTCTCGGCGCGTAGACCCTGAGTTCCAGGATAAAGATGTGGGCAAAAGGGGCACATGGATATTGGTGCTCGGGTAGCGTGGAGAGATACAGGGAGAGCTGGGAGGGGTCTCTAAGGTGGAGGTAATAGGGTTCTCGGATGCCAACGTTCTTCAAAAGCGGATATTTGAATGAATCTCTCGAGTAGAATCGAGGTCTTGGAAGGGCAGTGACGCAAGAAAAGGGAATGGAACGAGGATTGGGGATGTGAGTGCAGAAGGGTAGGCGCGGAGAGCCAGAGACGACGGGGAGGAACAATGAGGGAGGAGGTTGAAGGGGCTGGAGGCTGAGGGGACCCGGCATCGGACAATGGGGGCCGGCCAGACAATGAGGGGGAGGGGCATCGGAGGGAGAGGTCCGGCAGTCCAGGAGGAAGTCTAGTTGGGTTATGGTCTGCAGGAAAGGGTCAGCGAGGTGGGTGGAGAGGTGGCAGTAAAAGGTAAGGGGATCGCGAAAGGGATGCTCACCCTAAAGCTGTTGAGGGTTCCCTCCTGCCAGCCCAAGGACAGTGGGACTCTGGAGAGATAGGAAAAGCACTGACAAGGAGCACTGGGCTTCCCGCTCCTCTCGCGCGCTCTTCCTGGCGACCTCGCCCAGTTCCTTACTCGCGTCTCGGTAGCTGGGCTGGGAGCGGAGCATCCACTTCGCTGGGGCGAACCCCCTCCGCGGCTCCACTACGGCTGGCAGACTCCTCCGGCGCTCACGTGCTGGTGTTTAAAGGAGTGCCGCTGACCAGGAGGGATGGAGCGGGCGTCACCAGGTCGGGTCCCACGGGCGGCCACATCTCGGGATGCAGAACCGGGCGCACCGCAGAGGGTCCTGCAGCGCACAGCCCCTGCGGCGCGGGCAGGAGGCGGCCCGCAGGGGGCGCTGCAGGGCGGGCACTGCTCGCAGCTGCTGCGTCCGCGCAGAGGGCGCGCCGCCACCCACTAAGTTGAGTGCCCCTCATAGAGCGCCAGTAGCCCCCACGGTTCCTGCAGGGTTACGATCCGGTCCGCTTCCCTCCTCGCGTCCTGTGGAAGCTTCGATCCAGCTACGGATGAGGGGAGGGGATGGTAGTTTTGACACGATTTTCAAATCAAAGTGGATAGCCATGAACTGAGTGCTGGGAAGGCGTGGCTGTGGGTGCAGGACCCTCTTGGCTGTCTTATTCCTCATGTGAGCGCCTCTAAATTCTCATTTGACTGATAAGGAAACTGAAGCATTGAGAACTAAAACGATTGGGCCAAGATCCCACAAGCAAGTGAGGTAGTTCTAGTTAGTCTGCCCCGCGCCAGGTCCCGGGTTGGGTCTCTCCTCCACCCCTGAGTGCACCCAGTTCGCAAGAAGAGTGGTTTGTCCAGATGGGGGCGGGCTGCCACCATCCCCACAACCGAGCCGCGGAGAAATCTGGGGGCAATCTTGCCCTTCTCTGACCCCTTCGCTGTGACTCAGATCCCTGGAGCTGTCAGTACCTGTAGCTTCGTCCCTGCCTTTGGGGGTTACCCTGGTTTGCTGACTAACGCGGCCCTCTGGAGGGGCTTCTCTGCCCGGAGGAGGGAATGGAACGGGGCGGTCAGCAGAGAGAGTGCCCCCGCCCCCAAGTAGACTAGAGCGAGGAGGGACCGGAGGTGGGCAGAGTCGGGGTGGGGGGGTGGCCCTCGCGCAGAACCTGCCGCTGACCGCCGCGCTCCGCCTCCGCCCCACGTCCGCGGCCGCGCTGGGCCGGCTCCGCGCTCCGCCGCCGGCCGACTTTCTTCCTGGGCCGCGGCGCGAGAGTGCTGAAACCAGAGCGCGTCCCGGCGGATCGGCTGGCGGGCCGCGCCGGTAATGGAGGCACTTTGTCATTCAGACGTCTGTAACCGGAGCCGCCGGGCTGGCTAATGCGCCTAATAGGGATGCAGCGAGGGCAGTAAATGGGCAGGCGGGCTGGGGGGGAGGCGGCTCCGGGAGGGAAGGGCCCGATCACACCGGACCAGCCCGGCCCTGTCCCCGCCTCCCTTCGTCCCTAGGGGGCGGGGAGCGGAGGCGGGAATAAGAAAATATGTTGCGCGCCTACTGTGTGCCCCGCACCTTCCAGGGTCCTTTCTCCTAATTTAGTTAATCTTTATAAAGTCCCTTCAGGATAAATCTATTTACAGTTTTACAGTTGCTGGAGCTGGATCTCCTGGCGTTTTAGGCAGGCAGGAGACCAGATCTCAAGTGGGAGCATTCTTGCTGGAACCCACGACACTAGGCTAGGAGCCCCACTCATCTCTGTTTGCAAAACTGCTCCTCCCATCTAGATCACTAAGAAGCTCTAGAGCCTGGATCCCCACGAGCCCAGGATATTAGATCTACGCTGTAGGTCGATGGCACCACAAATTAAGAATCTGAGTCCCTTTGCCCTCACGCAGAGTCCCCTGCCAGCTCTCAAGTCTCCAAACTTTGTCTCCTGTTTTCTATCCTCCAAGCTCCACCCTCAAGAGGAGGTGGGGGCGTATTCCAGTGCTTTCCTTGGACCTGGAAAGACCCTCCAGAGATTTAAAGATCTCTTCAGTCCCATTAAGGTGATTGGAGCTTCCGTCACTTCAGGAACCTTTACTGAAGCTATCTGGCATGGATGACTGGGTCTCACCACATGGAAGCATTTATACAGTTCTCTAAGACTTTCCACTGTCCTGGTGTGTTTTTCCTTCAATGACAAGAAATGTTACATTCTAAACAGTCGATGCATCTAATGTTCCCACTTACTTCCTTTAAAAAGCCTTGGAAGTCTAAAAATGGCAAAGATACAAAGATTGCAAACATTCTCAAGAAAAAAGGATGAAATCATTCTTCAGATTGGAAATGAGCAAGGATGACAAAGACAAATGTTAGGCAAATGTGTCTGTCATTCGGCTAAACTGATCATTTTGAACTTAAACTCTAGTCACTCGCCTTGCATCTCAGGACTGCCTGTGGCCTTGGAATGAGGAAAAACTGGGAAGATCCATCCATCTCCTCATTGACTGAGGGACCTCTCTGAGCCTTGGTTTCCCCCATCTGTCAGCTAGGTGGTAAAAGCAGTGCCTCGAGTCTTTCTCTCCTCAGCATCTCCACAGGTTCCTCTCCCTCACAGGAAGTACACCCACACCTCACCCCCAGAGGTCGGGGACTATGTCTTATCAAACACTCTCAATGCCCATTAAATAATTGCTGACTTAGTAAACTTGTTAATAAGAGCTATTTCCAAAAAAAAAAAAAAAAAAAAGAGCTATTTCCCATCATCTTCTGACCCTTTTAAAACTCTTCCTGGTGGGTAACATTCTCTTGCTGTCTAACCTGCCTCCTGTACTTACTTGTCTGTCTTGGAGCCGGTTAACCACTCTCAACTCTCTTCACTACCTCCCACCCTGAGTCAGCTGCATATTCTTTTAAAACAAGACATTTCTTCATAACTATTCTTTTAAAACAAGACATTTCTTCATAACTAACATTTATAAACATTTTGCTATATGCCAGACATGGTTTGCATAAATAATTTCACCTCATTCTCAGAGAAACCCTGTGAAGTTTTGAGTTTTTTTAACCAGTGTTTTTAGTTGGGAAAAATCAAGGCTCAGAGAGAGAACATCACCATTTGCCTAGAGAAACATGCTATTAAGTAGCAGGCCCAGGATTCTGTGAAATAGGGAAAATAAAACAAGCACAGAAACGTGTGGTTACTAATTACATAGCTCCAGTGAAAATACATGAGGACGGAAGAGAGAGGACTACAGCCTTCCAGAAAGAGGGGCTTGCACAAGACTGCTCACCCACCCCGGATTACTATAGATAGAGCCCTCAGCTATCCCCAGGTCTCTGCTGACCTCAACTCACTGGGACACAGCCAAGAGCCACAAAAGAAGAAAAAAGACCTTTGAAAGGAAAAAAGAAGGGTCTTACCAGGCATATTAAGTACCTTGCTCAACGACTGTTTATAGCACCATTGTAAGGCAGGTACTGTCTTTATCACCTACTGAAGGGGAAATCAAGGCACAGAGAAATCCAAAACCTATCCCAGGTCACTCAGCTCTCAAGTAACCAGCCAAGATTCAGCATTACAGTGGCAGCTGAGAAGGTAGCCACAACAGATCACATATTTTATGCAGAGAATTGCCCTCTCCTGGTTCAGACCCTACTTCTACTCACTGTGCACCTTTCTAGCCAACGCTATTTGCATAGTTTTTTGAGATTCAATTAGTCTTCATCCAATGAGAATAGTAAGGGAGAGGCTGCTTTAAGTCAACTCTGGTGGCAGCAAGAATGGACAGCTGAAACAGTGACAGGAAGTGAGAAGGCAGAAACATGATATATATACCAAAAAAAGCTGATAGAACTTTTGTGACTACACACAAAAGTGTGGTAGTTTGGGAGAAAGCCCAAGTGTTTCACTGCATTGCAGCCCAGAATAAATGAGTCCCTGAGTCATAGAGAAACCAAAAAGGTGGTTTTCAGAGGCTGAGAAGAATGCAGTAATATGGTGAAAAATGGAAAATAGAGAATTAGAAGAGTAAACCCTCGACTCTTAGGAAATCCAGCCAAGAGTCATTTCCCCTGAGTTTTAGTTAGTGGAGGTCATATAATATTGTCACATTTTTAAATTCCAAAAAGTATACAATGGTCTCTAGTGAGCTCTGGAGGTTTAGTGGTAAGAACTTGTGCTGCCAACTCAAAGGTACGTGATTCAAAACCCATCAGCTCCTCCACAGGAGAAAGGTGTACACCCTCCTCCCATGGGATGTTCCACCTCTGAAAACCAGCTGGAGGGTCAGCGACGGGTTGGCTTCAACTTGATAGTACACAATAACAACAACAACAAGGAGCTCTGATGACTCAATGGTGAGGAATTGAGCTGCCAACGCAAAGGTGTTATTGTTGTTATGTGCCGTCGAGTCGTTTGCGACTCATAGCGACCCTATGTACAACAGCCCTAAACCATGCTCTATCCTGTGCCAATCTCATTGCCTCTGACACACCCATCCTGATTACCCCAGTCACTGAATCAGTCCACCTCATAGAGGGTCTTCCCCTCCTGCGCTGTCCCTCTACTCTACCCAGCATGATGTCCCTCTCTAAAGACCTGTCTCTCCTTACAACATGTCCAAAGTATGTCAGACGAAGCCCCAGAAACCTTGCCTCCAAGGAGCAGCTGTTCAAATCCACTGACAGTTCCACAGGAGAAAGATGGGTGGTCTCCTCCTATGCAATTTACAGCATCCAGCAACCCGCTGGAGGGTCAGCTATGAGTCAGTTCTCACTCAATGTCAGTAAGAGAATGATTATATGCCATGGACCAGGGCAGCCAGAGCCCCTGTCCTCAAAAAGCTGACAGTCTAGCAAGGGAGTCTTGAAGATGCCAGGCTAGATAAGAGCCGTGAAGGGAGAGTGTGTAACAGCACTGTTGAGTCGATTTTCAGTTGTAGTGGCCCCATGCATGCCAGAGGAGACCTACGATCCATATGGTTTTCAGTAGCTGATATTTTTGGAAGTAGAGCACCAGGCCTTTCTTCTGAGGGACCTCTGATTAGACTCATGTCTCCAACCCTTTGATTAGCAGACAAGCATTTTAACCATTTGCACCATCCAGGGTGACAAGGCAACTCTGCCTGGTTTGGGAGAGGTGAGGACAGCAGGATCACTTTTTCCAAAGAAAAGACAGCAAAGCTGTGTCCTAAAGGATGAGGAGAGGGGGGAGCCCACCAAAAACCAACCCCAAAACAGAACAGACGCCTCTGGAATCTTACCTCCTGGGGGAAAGCCCACATCTGGGCACCAGGAGGCTCCTGGTCTGCAGATGTTTCTAGCCCTGTGTGCTGGTGCCACCTGGGAGGAAATGGTGACAATACTCAACTTTCCTTTTCCTGGCCTAAACCCTCCCCACTGGTCTCATGGTTGAGCCACCCTGGCACCACCCGGCTTCTTCTCTTTCCTCCCAATCAAGACTAAGTGAGACCTCAAGCTATCCAATTGGCACAGGAGATTATCTGGTGGATTAGAACCATGTGCCTTCAGGATTGCAGCGCAGCTTCTTCTCAGTAGGCTACTAGGGATCCCTGAGCTCAAGCTAATTTTAAAGGACTCAGGAAATGGAGCATCTTGGCCATAATCTGACTGTTGTGGAAGCAGAAGAATGCCCAATGTGACCTTGTAAAGTTCCTTTCTGGCTCCACAACCCGAGGGCTCATCCACTGCATCAACTAGGGGCTGCATGGTCTGGTCTGAGCCTAGGAAGGCAGGCTTTGGAGTTTTATTAGACATTAAGTTTTGTGTTTTGGATTGTGGTGGTTTTTTTAAAAGCACAGAAATATAAAGCAAGCCTCCAACAGGCCCTTCCCCTAGGGAATCTGGTGCTAAATCGTTCCTTCCCTGAGCAAAGATGCTTGAGCGGCAGGAATCCGACTCCCCTTTCCCTCAGTTCCAGAGCTGTTCCAGCACTGTGGCTACGTAGGGGGCAGGGCTGAGGGGAGGGCTGGCAGCGGGAAATCAAACCCTGGTGGGACAGGGCTGCTGAGTGGTGAGAGCAGCCACTTCCTCATCATTGATAACAGACCTCCCTCTCTTGGCGCCAGACTCTCACCCATTGGCTGGTCCTTTGCACTGGCACCGAGCTGTCGCCATCTCTGTGTGGAGAGATGGAGGCTCAGAGAGGGAAGGTGAGGCAGGCCAGAAGCCCTGGGGCAGAACTGAGATTCAAACTTGAGCCTATGCTCTAGGTTACCTTCCATTTGCTATTTAACCTTGGTGGAGTTAGGGGGCCTGGCAGCCTCTGTGTGGAGTAGAAGGAGGCACTATCTCTAGGTAGATGGAGCCTCGCAGGTGTGCAAGTCAGCCAGGGGAACGTGGACTGAAGTGCAACTACTCATCACCCTCATTGGCTGGGAGCCCTGTGCAGGCCGCAGCCTGAGCAACTGTTCATGACACCCCTGATCAAAGGCCTCTGCTGAGTCTCAGGCCCCCATCCCTAGGTGCTGTGCCCTTGGGATTCCAGGAGTGGTGCCAGGACCCCAAATGATGAACTCTGTCAAAGGTCAGCATCTGGGGCTCCGACTTCATGCTTGCAGCAGCCTTCCATGTGCTTTCCCTGCACGGACAGACGGTGTTTCTTCCTGAAGGCTTTGATGTGTCTAATGCCTCCCTGGTGAGCTCATCCTAGCCCAGGTGGTTCCAATAGACAGTGTTCGAAGGGATGTGTGAACCTTTGGAAGACACCCCCTCTGTCCTCTAGATGATGGTCTGACCCTCTGATCTCCCCCCCAGGTGTCCCTCAGTGGTGCCAACGAGGCATGCCCCACAGACATGTACACCCACAGTGGCGAGTGCTGCAAAGCCTGTAACCTGGGTGAGGGCGTGACCCAGCCCTGCGGAGCCAACCAGACCGTGTGTGAGCCCTGCTTGGACAGTGAGTATGGGCAAGTGAGGTGCAGACAGGAGTGGGAGGGGAAGAGGTGTGGGGGAGAAGCATACCTAGGGTCTTTTAGCAAGTTTCTCTGCCAACTTCTGTATGGGCACCAGAAGTGGGACTGGCCCAGTATTGGAGGCAGAGGGAAGGAGTTGAGAATGGATGAGGAAAGTATGCAGAGGGAGAAGGGGGCTCCGGTGGGTCTTCCTCAAGGGGGACTCCTTCCCAGCCCCCCAAGCAGAGAGGCCTGGTAGAAGAGTGTGGCCAGGTGGCTAAAAATATCTGCACTGCAAAATCAATGGCTGCCACTTACTCTGGGTGGGAAGCGGGAAGGGGGAGGAAGATCAAATCTGGGCTGCCCTGGAGACTGACCTTGGGGGATCCTAGGGCCGGATGGCTGCCCCCCTCTGTGTCAATTGTTCCCAACTTTGACCAAGTAAAGCTTTCCTGAGATAGTAGGGATGGGAGTCAGGACTCTTCTTAGGGTTCTGGGGTGAGCTCAGGTGGGGAGGGGGCCAATGCCATTCCTGCCAGGATTTCCCTCGAAAGGCAGAGAAGCCCATCTTTCAGGGAGGGAGGAAGATGGCAAGTGTGGGCCCTTGGCCTCAGCCTTGTCTACGATCTAAATTTGAGTTGTTTGGGGTTAGGAATCTCCATCCCTGTGGCTGCCCTCAGTCCTCAGTCCTCAGTCACTACCTCCAGGCTCAGAGCCCCTTCCTGAATCTTCTCAGAAAACTTTACTTACTGCTAACAGCCAGGTCCTGTCTGGCACCTGGCATTCAATGCTGGCCTGGAGGGCTAGGTGGAATCCATAATCAGATTATTCTTTAATCCTATAGGGACAGGGGGACAAGGCTGGGAACCCACCTGCCTACCTAGCCTTACGTCTCAGCGTGACCTACCTCACTCCCACAGTCTGTGCACACTTCAAGCAGCCCCAACTCGTAGTATTCCCCAACATACACTTTCCCACAGACCCAGTGAATCCTGTAACCCCATCCATCTCCTCCCCCAGCAGAAGGAGGCCTGATCCAGTCACCTGCCCAGACCTGACTTGGTCAGCCATCCCCTGGAGCCTGACTCTCATTTCATGGGCTCAAGCCTACCACCTCTCCTCCCTGGAACTGGAACTGGAACCTGTCAACGGGTCTGAGGTGGGGGGTTGGGGAGTCCCAGTATCTCTAGAGGAGGGAGAGGAGACAGCAGCAGGGACAGGAGCAGGCAGGCCAGCTCAGAGGCCTCTGCAAGATTCCCTCCTCCCCCAGCCCCCAGCTGAGTTAACAGGCTGCCTTTATGAGCCCACTTTATGGTATAGAGACCCCAGCGGACTTCCCTCCATTCTTAAAATGTTTCCACAAGGAAACCCATTAAGCTCCTGCCTTCATTCTCTGCCAAAAAAGACCACGTTTTTCACACCCCCTAAACCCCCCTCCCAGGAGCTTTCTTCTAATTTTCTGAATTTTTCCCATGGGCAGGGCTCCTCCTTCCCTGCCAAGTATGACCAAGCTCATCTCCTACCCACACCGGGCAGCCACGTAGGACACTCTTGTCTGTCTAGATTGGACATTGGCTTATAGGCTGTTTGTGCCTATAAATTTTCTCTACTATTTCTCTGTCACTACCCAATTGTACAGCCCAACTTTTAGAGAATTTCCACTGTGTACTAACAGCTGTCAATGCCAAATGTCATCTATTCCTTACCCTATTTTATAGATAAAGAAAATGAAGTTCAGAGAGTTGAGTCAAAGATCCCGAGTCACACAGCTAAGTGATAACACCAGATCTGAATCCAGATTCTGTCTGCTCAGTAGGAAGAGAAACACAGGGTTCCCTCTGCAGAACCCTATTCCCCCAGACCTTTCCCCATCTGCTTTTTCTTCTCTTCCATCTATTTCTGCATCATTCAAGGTCATTCTTGCTATTCCTTCTTTGCTTCCAACACAACAATGATTCTGTGCTCTATGTGGTCTATTGATGGCTTTAGAGGACATTGAGATTGGATTAGTCTCTATCTAGTCTATACCCTTTGAGCTGTGGTGCTGGAGAAGAGTATTGAATGTACCATGGACTGCCAAGAAAACAAACATATCCATCCTAGAGAGGGTTAAACCAGGCTACTCCTTGGAGGCAAGGATTCTGGGGCTTCGTCTGACATACTTTGGATATGTTGTAAGGAGAGACGGGTCCTTGGAGAGGGACAGCGCAGGAGGGGAAGACCCTCTATGAGGTGGATTGATTCAGTGACTGGAGTAATTGGGATGGGTGTGTCAGAGGCAATGCGGTTGGTACAGGATAGAGCAGGGTTTAGAGCTGTTGTACATAGGGTCGCTATGAGTCGGAAACAACTCGGCACTTAACAAAAACAACAGTCTATACCCTAGTCTGTACTTCTGTTTCCAAGTTCTGAGCAATCCCCCCTTCTAAGGTTCGATGTTTCCTTTTGGGCCCAGGTGGGCACATGTGTGACATTCTCCACTCTGGGCCTGAAGAGGAAAAGAATTCCTAGCTATCTGCCTCCCTCTCTCAGCATAAGGCAGCACAGCCTCTCCCCTTACATGGGTGCTCACATGTATTAATTAAGGGAGTATGAGTCAAGAGTGAGCTTGGAAATCTCCCCTTTGTGCCCATTGAAAAGACAGAGGACTATACACGCAAGCCCTTCTTAATTTCTAGCTTCAGTCCCTCCTGATGCACTTGAACGTTTTTGCCTGGAGTTCAGTCCCCACCCTCACCGGCCCAGCCCTTCAGCTTGGGGTAGCTCTTTGGGTGGGATATTCTACCACAGCCTAGCCCTCTTCGCTTCCATTCAGACCACACCTGAGCCCGGACCTGTGCAGGAGGAACAGTGGGGCCGCTGGGCCGGAGAGGCTCTCCAGCGGAAGGGGAAGGCCGCTGCTTGGGTTGGGTTCACAGCCCGGCTCTACCCGGAGGGGAAGGCTGGGTGGGAACCACGCTCTGATTAGCCTTTAATCATGCTGGGAACAAGAGCACAAGCCTTGAGAACTCGCTAAGGGAATTTGCTGGACAATTTACTGGCACCACCTGGTGCCGCGGGGCTGGCGCTCCTGGACCCTGGAAAAGGGCAGGAGTCAACGAAAGAGTGCAACTGAACAGGACAGCAGTGCCCTGGTGGAGGATGCGCGCGGTGTGATAGTGGTGGCTGAACTAAGCCCGCTGCCTCCTCATCTGCCTGTTTGCCCTCAGGCGTGACGTTCTCCGACGTGGTGAGCGCCACGGAGCCATGCAAGCCGTGCACCGAGTGCGTGGGCCTGCAGAGCATGTCTGCACCGTGCGTGGAGGCAGATGACGCCGTGTGCCGCTGCGCCTACGGCTACTACCAGGACGAGACGACAGGCCGCTGCGAGGCATGCCAAGTATGCGAGGCGGGCTCGGGCCTCGTGTATTCATGCCAGGACAAGCAGAACACCGTGTGCGAGGAGTGCCCCGACGGCACCTACTCCGACGAGGCCAACCACGTGGACCCGTGCCTGCCCTGCACCGTGTGCGAGGACACGGAGCGCCAGGTGCGCGAGTGCACGCGCTGGGCCGACGCCGAGTGCGAGGGTGAGCGCAGCTGGGGCCACCATGGTGGCAGTGGGGAGGGTGGTGCTGGACACATGAGAAAGGGCGTCCCCTAGGCGACACAGGTGCCTGCCTGTGCCAGCAGGCACCCTGTCTGAGCCCTCAACCTGTGTTCCCTGCTCCCTTCGGGGAGGGAAGAGTTGATGCTGGCTTTGTCATCAAAGGCCTCCTTCCATAATGCTTTCTTTGGGCTGTTTCCAAAGCAGTTGGCCTCCCAGCGGGGTTACTAGGTTCTAAGTCATAGTCCAGAACTTGCTCCCTCTCCCTCCGGCTGCCAGCTAGTTAGCAAGTGGGTGGGCAGGTGACGGGTGACTCCAGGGTGCAGTATTTCAGGACAGAGCAGGACGTGCTTAATCTTTGAAGCAGGCTTTCTGAAGCAGAAAAGATAACTGAGGGACCCTCAGGAGATGGATGCTCAGGAGACAGAAGGCCCGGCCTAGGTGTCTGATGGTGTATGATGCGATGACTCATCCCCTCCTGGAACCTCAGTTTCCTCACTGATCACGCGCTTGTCCCACTTCAATGTTTAGCATCTGAGGGAGGGTGGGCAGTTATTGAAATGTAGTGAAGGACGAGGTGGGGCACAAGACTGCCCAGTGTGTGAGACCATTGGGACTGGAGGGGCTTTGGGGGCAGAGAAAGAAAGGGAGAGAATGCTCACTTGAGACTAGCAGACAGGCAAACAGGGCAGCGTGTACAGACAGAGAGTGCTCAGGGCTAAACCGTTCTTGTCTTTGGTCATGTCTACCTTGGTGTGGGTGGGTGGGTTTCTCACCATCACCCTTTGGGGACAGAGCCCCAGGAACCTCTCCATCTAAGAAGGCAGCACAGCCTCTCCTTCAGGGAGACCTCGATTTGACAGAAGAGCCCCTGGACAGCCACATACCAGCTTTTAGCCCCTTGCTGAGGGAGGAGATGCATCCCTTGCCTCTGGGGAGCCCCTTGTCTGGCCGGCGCTGCTAGAGAGCCTTGCTTCTCTCTCATGTACTGTGACCCCAGCTCCCGGAGCTCGAGGTGGAGTGGCTGCTGGAGTGTCTGAGGCTGGTTTTGTGTGAGGTGCTTCCTGCATTCGGATGGGGGGGTGGGATGCAGAACATGGTTCTAGTTGTGACTGTGTGGGCCAGGAGACAGGCAAGTGGCATCAGGCACTAGGCAGGGCAGGGAGCGTCCAGCAGGGCTACAACAGGCAGGCAGCAGGCAGGCAGGCTAGCAGCGCGGATCCATGGACAAGTCTGAACCAGCCAGTGAGAAGACTTCATCAGGGGTGAGATTAGAGCAAAGGAAGGTGGCAGCTGGGGAGAAGGCTCTGCCTTTTGGGGTGTTCACAGATTCCTTTCTGATAGCACCCCACTTTTCCAGCTAACCTAAAGGAAGGTGGGATTCCTGGGGGGTATGTGTGTTTATTTCTGTCTCTGTCCCCCTTCCAGTCAGCCTCTGCAGGGTTAAATGTCAGCTCAAAAAAAAAAAAATGTCAGCTCTCGGGCAGAGAGATGATTTCAGGAAATGGAATTTGATTCTTAGTTTGGTTGCTCCCTGCCCCACCTCCAGTGCACTATTTTCTTCCTGCATATACATTTCTGGTGTTAACATGGTGACTCACTCACCCCCTCAGGGCAGAAGGGCCACCCCTTGCCCCAGTTGAAATGTAGGTCAAGGAGGGGTAACCTGGTCCCTCCTTCCGCCCCCCCCCCCCCAAGTCTGACATCTCCTATTCCGGAAAAGGCTGTCATGACCAGCCAAGGGCTTAGCAAGTTGGAATGCTGGTGGACATGCCACATCTGGATCTCATCCCCCTCCCGCCCCCATCAGAGGGGACTGGAGAGATGAAGGGAAATGCCCTGGACAGCACTGTCTTCGGCCTCCGTGGCCCCTGCTCAGTCCTCCCTACTGCTCATCACTGACAACTCTCTACATACACATGCACCTTTAATTTTGGGGTTGGAATCAATGTCTGGGCTCAGGCTGGTCTCCAGCTTACTCTGTCCCCTAATAGAGAGGAGAAGACCCTCCCAGTCTAGCCCCCTTTCTGAGGCTTCAGAGGACAGAGCAGTGTCCTCCAGCGTTTCGCAGTGCCTTCTCCCAAGCCAGAGATGGAGGATGAGTGGGGTGAGACAGCCCCCTCCTCTCTGCCAGTCAGATGGATTCCAGATTCACATCTGGGGGTCTTCCCTCTCAGAAGGTGCTGAAAGGGGCAGGGGCTTTGAAGAATCTTCATCTTAAGCTGAGGTGGCCCAGCAGAAAGGTGGACAGCTTCGACTACAACTTGGGTGGGCAGGCTGGGGGCTGGATGGAACTGAGCTGGAGAGCATGGTGTCCTCCACTTCACCCGGCTGGCGTGTCCTCTCTCTCCGCCAGGTGTGGGAAGCAAGGATAGATGAAGTGGGCAGCTTTGCCCAGACAGGTACCCCCAGGCTGTCCTTGGCACCACCTCCATCTGGGTGGCAGAATGGAAACTCCCTTCCACTGGAGCCAGGATGGCAGGTCCCTTGCCAAGAAGGCTGGCGATGCCCAGCTGGCATGAGAGGACCTAGGTGGGTGGCCAGGCACAGCCTTGCTCCCTCTGTGGCAGCAGGTAGCACCTAGCTTGTAGGTTTCCTTCCCCACCTGTCCTCTGCTTCTTGCCCAAGAGGGTTCAGTCTGCCCAGCACGACTTTCTTGGGGTGGGGAGGTGACTTTTGCAGCCAGGTTGGCTAGGAAACCAAAGCTGACCTCAGGCCAACAATTTGCTGGCAAGAAGCAAGCCAGCTGGAGCTCCCCCCACCATCCACCCCATCGTACCCAAGCTTTGAGCCTGGAGTATCAGAGGTGGGAAAGGAAGGCTGGGTGCCAGTTCCTAGAGAGGTGGGCTGGGGCCATGTACCTCTTAGAGCAGACTTGAGTCCCGTATCCTTTAGGAAAAGTGACTGGGATCCTATGGGACAATCTGAAGGGGATGCTTTCCTGGGCCCTTACTTTCTTCTCTGCCAGGCTTCTGTGTGTCCAGAGGAGACCAGCTAGAATTCCAGAGTGATAGCTACTCCCAAGGTGGAAGGGGGGTTTACAGGGACCATCTCTAGTAATAGCCCTGGTCTGTAGATGGAGAAATTCAGCCCTTGAAGTCACACACACAGCAAGTTGGTGACAGCTGAAGTGGGCTCAGTGCCCCGGCTCTATCTCCTTCTTGACATCATACACCCAGTTCCCATCCTCACCCCCGTCACATACTCTCTAGGGTGGGGCCTTAGGAAGAAGCGTTAGAGTGACTCAAAACGTAGGCACAGGACCTCACTCCCGTGGCTCTTTCTTTTAGAGATCCCTGGCCGTTGGATTACACGGGCCACCCCTCCAGAGGGTTCAGACAGCCCAGAACCCACCACCCAGGAGCCAGAGGGACCTCCAGAGCTTGACCCCATGGCCAGCACTGTGGCAGACATGGTGACCACAGTAATGGGCAGCTCCCAGCCCATGGTGACCAGAGGCACCACTGACAACCTCATCCCTGTCTATTGTTCCATCCTGGCCGCTGTGGTTGTGGGCCTCGTGGCCTACATTGCCTTCAAGAGGTGAGAGGGGCTGTGGAGGGATAACGACTGGGGACCTTTACCAAGGAGAAGGACTTGACTCTGATCTTGACTTGAAAACACACACCCACCCCCCACACACACACTATTTTAACTCAATCTCAGATCCTGATCGTTCTTACTAGTATCCGCTGTTGCACTCTAAGGAGAAAGAGCATACTGTCCTGACTCTAGCCTCCACCCACTCCAATTCCCAGACCGACCTCCCCACCCACATGCAGAAAGACTTGTTTGGGCCCAGCTCCCCGACCCCCATTCACCCACTCAGTTAGACACCTAGGAGTGCACATACACCTCCTTCCTACCTCCCAGGGAATCCAGGGATTCAGGACTTGCAGGGATACCTAGAGGGCGTTTTAAAATTGTAAATGTGTTTTTCATTCTTTTAAAATATCAAAGCAGTACATGCTTGTTAGGGGAGAAATGCCAACAAGACCAATGTCAGGAAAGCAAAGAGTAAAAGTTCCCTTTATCTCCCCAAGTCCTGTCCCTCTTTTCACTGTTTGGAATGAATCCCTCCCAGCTATTTTCTGGGTTTGTGGAGAGAGAGAGAGAGAGAGAGAGAGAGAGAGAGAGAGAGAGAATGAATATGTGTTACAGTTACACATAAACACAGGTTTGCTTTTTATAAAAAAAGAAAATCAATGGACTCCTACTATACATATTATGCAACATTTTCACTTAAGCTCCTTTGGGAGAGTTTTCCTTGGGACATATAGATTATCTGATTATTTGTAACCGCTCATTCAATAATATGGATGGATCATAATGTATTTAGCCAGTCCTTGATTGATGGACATTTGGTTTGCTTTCCGCTTTTTTGTTATTGCTTGTAATAGCAGCGGAAATCCTTGTATATATCCCTGAACACATGTGGAAGTATTTTAGAAGAGTAGATTGTGAAAAGTGGAATTCCTGGGAAGTCGTTTATTTATGCATCATTTATTCCATAAACATTTATTGACTGCCTTTGTTGTACACTAGGAACTGAGTGCCCTTCTGCCCTATCAGAGCTCTCTGTTTAGGCTGGGGCAGATATGGGAAGTTAGAACTGTGGGTGCTGTGGCTGGGGCCATAATTCACGCCCCTCATCCCTCTGGTCCCACCCATCAGAGCAGATCACTTGGCCACTCTGGTCAGTGAGGCCCCGTGGCCACTAAGACTGCCCTGTCCTCTGGCTTCAGGTGGAACAGCTGCAAACAGAACAAACAAGGAGCCAACAGCCGTCCAGTGAACCAGACGCCCCCACCTGAGGGTGAAAAACTCCACAGTGACAGCGGCATCTCTGTGGACAGCCAGAGCCTGCACGACCAGCAGCCCCACACGCAGACAGCTGCAGGCCAGGGTGAGAAGCAAGAATGGGCAGGGGAGCTGAGGCCGGGAGAACAGATCAGACGGCACACTGGACTGCCAGAGAGGGCGCCTAGCTAGTGGAGGCCTTGGAGTCCAAAGATGGAAGAAAACCACATGGGGGGAATAGGCGGAAAGGAGGGTCTTTTAGGATGGGCAGACTTGAGAAGTGAGGCTTTTTTACATGTTAGAGCATTCAGATTCATCCAGTTAATTGTCCCCCCTGGGGGCTAATTACCCCCAAAGTGTCTGCAATTAGCCTCCTGCCCTGGACTTCTGGGGAACAAGTAGTTAATTATGCTCACTAATCAGTGGCCCATACCCCAGCTCCAGGACACCTGCAGTCTGGGATTGAGGTGGCCTGTCTCCTCTTCCTTGGTCTTGATTAATTGCAGGGGGACATAGGGGTGGGAGGGCTGGAGCTATGCATGAGGAGGGGGACAGTGAGTCAGCATTGCCCCCCTCCCTACAGGCCCTGCCCATCTCTCTGCCTCCAGGCCTTCCTCAGATTGGGAAGAGAAATTTGCTGGGCCTCTTAGGGCTTTCTCCCAGACGCCCATCTCCACGATGGTTGGGGACCCAGTGGGCACAGGGCAGGGGTAGGCCTGACCACTCCTCTGGGTTCTTGGCAGCGCTCAAGGTTGATGGAGGCCTCTACAGCAGCCTGCCCCCGGCCAAGCGCGAGGAGGTGGAGAAGCTGCTCAACGGCTCTGCGGGTGACACATGGAGGAACCTGGCGGGCGAGCTGGGCTACCAGCCGGAGCACATAGACTCCTTCACCCATGAAGCCTGCCCGGTCCGTGCCCTGCTTGCCAGCTGGGCCGCCCAGGACAGCGCAACGCTCGACGCCCTCCTGGCTGCCCTGCGCCGCATCCAGCGAGCTGACATTGTCGAAAGCCTGTGCAGCGAGTCCACTGCCACGTCCCCCGTGTGAGCCCATGGGACCCCCCCGTCCTGCCCCCACATTCTGACTGATGCTCCAGCCCACCCCACGGAGCACGCAGCCAGGAGCCAAGGCCCCACAGCTCTGTGGCTGCTCCCCTTGTGGCCCCTTCATATCTGACCAAATCCTCCTCCAGCAAAAGAAGTCTCCTGTCCCCCCAACCCCACATCCTCCTTGCCCCTTCACCATCTCAGGCTGCCTTCTCCCTTCACACCCCATGCGCCTAGGTAGGCCAGCCCTCAGTCCTCCCCTCACCTTTGCCAGTGTCACATCTCGGGGCTGACACACTCTAGCAATGGAGTTGGGCTGGTGATAAGCCCCTCTCTCCCCGGAGACTCTAAGGGAAGAGTCAAGGAGTCAGAGCCATGGACACTGTGAACTTGGAGAGCAAGGACCTAAACCCCTCCTTCACCTCCCTCACTCCTCCCCTCTGGCCTGAGAGACCAGACATTCTGAGGCACCTAGGAGTTGGAGGGGTTTAAAATCTTGCCCACCACCTCATTTGCATACAGGGCGATGAGACCTAGAGAGAAACAGTCGCTTCCCCAAAGCGACCCAGTGCAGAGACTGAGTGTGGGCTGGCACTTTCAGTAAGGATGGGCTCAGGCAACCCTCTGGGAAATGTCCCCAGGCCCCGTGGACAGTGCCTTCCACTTTCTCTGGGCCTCCATGAGCCCTATGGAGATGGAATACTTCTGTCTGGGACTTGGTTAATCCATTCAACATGTTCTGATTAAGGTTTAGGGTTTGTGAAATGGGGTGCTGTGCCCATTTAGGTGTGTCAGTATGGACTTCCAGTCAGAGAAAGGGTCAGCTTGGCCCAGACCCAAAGCCAACAGGGGTAACATCTTCCCCTCAATCAGCCTTGGGGGGCAGGGGCTAAGGGGCTCCCCCTCCCCTGCTTTGCAACACACACAGGAAGAGGACTATTGCTTTCTTCCCCTGGTTCCTCCTCTTGGGCTCTGTGACCGGATCCTGCCCGGGGCAGCTGCCAGGAGAAGCATGGGAAGAGAATTGAGCTCCCCGCGCCCCCCCACCCACCCCGGCTTTGGCTTTGGCGGGCCAAGGACTGCTGAGGTTGGAGCTGGAGTCTGTCTTCCAAGGGCCTGCACGAGGAGGAATGCCCCCTCCCACTCCCCTGCGTGCGCAGGCTGGCTGCAGGCCCCAGAGCTAATCCGTGTTCCATTGAAGAAAAGTGGACCCGCATGAGAGAATGCAGCGAGAAGGAACTGAGTCAGACTGTGGCCTGGCAGGAGGGATCTCTCGATGTTTAGAAGACCCTGCAAAGGACTATTTCTCCCTAGCTTGGTACCAGAAAGGGGCCACGAGACCTCAATGGCATTCCCACCCTTCCCAGGCCTGTTTTGTTTTGCTTGATGTTGGAATGAGTGTGGTTCCCCCCCCCCCTATTTAGCATGAAAGAGCTTCCGCTCTCCCAGGGTCCTGCTAACCCTGAGAGTGGGACTAGGAGCATTGTATGTAGATGACATTTCTTTGACCTCGAACTGTGACAGGAGGAAGCTCACCTGCTGGCCCCTTACCTGCGGGCCTTACAGAGTCTATTTATTTTCTTCCCCAGCAGTTGAGGAGGGGTAGGGAGCAGTGGGGAGGGTTACCAGTATGGTTTAGCATGTGTTTGGTTCTGGGGCCCTTCCTGCCTCCTTTTGGGCTGAAATGGAACCTTTGAGCCCCCAACTGGGGGCTTCGAACTCCAGGCCCCTTGTCACCTCCTTGTCATGTCTCCCTTGCATCCTGTGTAATCATTTCTTGGGTCCTCCTAAAACCTACACATAAAGCATAAATGATGAACATTAAATAGCAAAGAAAGAAAACTAGTGCAAATAGTTTTTCTGGAAATACATATGGTTTGAGTGTAAGTTAAGGGTATATGGATGGGAGGCAGGGAGCTCTAGTGACATAGCATCTTATGTATTGCGCTGTTAACCAAAAGGTGAGCAGTTTGAATCCACTAGCCACTCCAATGAAGACAGATGGGCAGTCTTTCTCCATAAAGATTTACAGCCTGGGAAACCAGAAGGAGGATCACCTTGGGTCAGAATGGACTTGATGGCAGTGGGTCTGACTTGGTTTTCAGTGGGGCAAGGAGCTAAATGCTCAAACCTAAAGGTTGATAGTTTGAACCAACCAGTTCTGCATTAAGAGAAACATATCCTTTTAGTTCAGAAAATGTAAGTAGGGTAGGGGGGAGTGTGGCAATCTGTTCCCATTGAGGATTACAGCTGAAAAAAGCCTGTTGTTCCACTGTGCCCTAGAGGGTCCACGATGGGTCAGAATCCACTCAAGAGCACTGGTGTTTGGTTTGGTGGGGCATGAGAGACCTAGGTAAAATGTCCAACTTCATTCCTATCGTCTTTTTTATTCCTGAAAAAGGAAGAAGTTTTAACAAATCCAGCAAGTTTAACATGTAGTCTCAGTCACAGGGTTAATTTAGAGATGGATGAAGGGAAGGGAGGAGGCTTGGCCCCAGATCTTGGAGAGGGAAAGTGAAAATGGCCATGCAGAAACCAGGCCAGCTGTGAAGTGAAACTGACCACCGGGCTCCAGGGGTTTGCTAGGAGGGCCAGGTCACAGCTCCACTCCCAGCCACCCACATGGACACACACACACACACACACACACACACACACACACACACACACACACACACACACAGTCTGGCCCAGATGTCTCAGTGGGAGGCTGAGTGAAATGAAGTAGGTCTTGCAGCTCTCACTGGAAGGTCCTAACCCCAGCTCCTGCCAGCCTGACTTGGAGCCCTGCCTGGCCTAGGCCGGTGAACAACCTGGTCCCACAGGCTTCCCAGCCCCAGGCCCTCACCCCTCTGGAGTCTAGCTAGGCTAGTGGTCAGAGCTGTCCAGTCCATGCTGTTGCTTGGCCAGGCCTTCAGATGGGGCTAGTGTGTGGTCATGGAGGAAAGCATGAAGGAGACTTATTTTGCCCAGAAAGCACAGCCAACAAGCTCTGGAGCCAGGGCCAGGGCCAGGCAGGCCTCAGTCCAATTGGACAGCTCTGTCTTCCATCTCCCAACCTTCCAACTCCCAGACTGTGAGAGTCCAGCAGAAGACGGGGGAGGGGAGGGACTAAGTGTGTGAGGGGGTGATGGTGGTGGTAGGAGATGAAGGAATGGAGGATGATGTGAGTCGGTTAGAGAAATGATCAGTGTTCAGGAAGCTTCAGTTCAACTATCCTGAAGAAGCCTATCTGAAGGGGGTATTTCTCATCTGATGGAAAAGGCACAATTCCTGTTCTAAGAAAAGCCCGATTTCTTCTGATGGCAAAATACAGTGTTTGCCCTACAGGTACCTCGAGTTTCAGGAAAGGATAGACTCTGTCCAGTGGGACTAAGGGAGATTGAAATCCCTGCCTTCAGAGATGCCACATTCTTGGGAGAACATAGCCCATAAGCCCTATAGGGTGTGCAGTGCCATAAAAAGAGTGAGTGGGGGCATCCACAGAAAGCACATCAAAGCTGAGGCTGGAAGGAGGGGAAGAGTTAAGAGGCGGCCGAGGAGAGCATTCCTGGCAGAGGAGCAAAGGCCTTGAACTGACAGAGAACAGCACGCACAGAACCCAAGCCCCGAACCCAGAGAGCGAGTGAGGATGTGAGGGAGGCCAGATGGAGAGTCCTTGGGAAGAGATGGGAGGACCCTGGACTGTATTCTTAGAACACTATGAGGGCCCTTGAGAAGTACCACGGTCAGATTTGCATTTAGAAAGTGCTAACTCTGGTGGTCTAGTGGATATGGAATTGTGATGCCAACCCAAAGGCACATGGTTTGAATCCCGCAGCTGCTCCTTGGGAGGAAGGTGGACAGTCTCGTCTCTTACAATTTACAGCCTCTGAAAACCCACTAGAGGGTCAGCAATGAGTTGGTGCACAGCATTAAAGCTCTGGCTGCAGTGTGGTTGGGTTTTGCTGGGTGTGTTGGGGTGTGGCTGGGCATGGTGGGGTGTGGCTGTGGTGTGTAGGGGTTTGTTTCTAGTGTTGGGGGTTGTGACAATCAGGACAGCCAGGAGATTGGGAGGCCCAAGTGGTGGCAGCCTAAGGTAAAGGAAGGGCAATGAGGTTAGAGAAGAGCATGTGAAAACTCCTCAGACCACTGGCGATCGGTGGGGGTGGTAAGGAGGTGACACTGGCCAAGGTCTCCTGGGGCCATGGAAAAGCCTTAAAGCACTGCACCAGAGATTCATTCCCTCTGCACCTATCCCCTGCCAACTTGTGGAGAAACTCTCTTGGCCACTTTAGCTAACCCTCATCCCTCCTCTAATTCTCCCTCTAAGGCTAAAATAGAGAGCTCTGGTTGGTAGCCTTGTGGGTAAGAGGTTGCAGTGTGAACCCAAAGATGGGAGGTTCTAATCCAACAGAGCTGCTTTGAGGGAGCTAGATCGGCCATCTTATCCTGTGCCAATTATAGTCTTTGAAAACCCACTGGAGGGTAAGCTATGAGTTGACAGCACATAACAAGGGCTAAAATGCTTCCTAGACTCCCATCATGAAGGAAGAGGCTTCAGGTTGCTTGAGACCTCTGCCAACTCCTCCTGACCCCTTGCCTTGAGTCTTCCTGTCATCCCTCTCCTCACTTTCAGTGCCCCCCCAACTAGCTTTCTTTGGAGCCTTTGAATTCCCCTGTTCGCTCTGCCACAGAGCCTTTGCACGTGCTGTCCAGTGGCACACAGGGACCATTCTCACACTTCTTTCCCAAGTCACCTCTAACCTGGTGCTTCCTGAGGATGCCGTCGATGCACACTGGGTCCAAAAGCAGGTTCCTAGAACATCATGTTCCACTCCTCTCTGCTGGACCACTTATCTCTCCTGATAATTACTTGCCTGTCTGAGTGATTATCTGATTACTGTAAACCCCAGGAAACCAAAGACCAGGCCTGGTTTTGATCACTTTCTAATCACAGCTCCTTCTCTGGCATATAGTTGGCATCAACAGGCATTTGTTGACTAAATGAATGAACTTGTTCTAAGCAGCATTGTCCAACAGAAGTAGAATATGAGTGATGTAGGTAGTTAATAATTTTCTCATAGCTGCATT